ATGCCCACAAATATACTTCAAAATATATAGAGCAAAAAATAGAAAAAACTACAAAGAAAATTGATGAATGCACCAGTATGGTGGGGGATTTTTAAAATTTCTCCCTTCGTAATTGATTGATCAAACAGACCAAAAAAAAGAAAAAAGAAAGAAAGAAAAACCTTAAGATAGAAGATACATATTTCATACAAAATAATTAACAACTTTAATATAATTGTCATAGACCATGCTGGAGAGTAGACATACATTACAAGAGCATACAGAAAACCTGTAAGAATCTCCACACACAAAACCATAGAAAGTCTCAGTAGATTTCAAAAAAAGTTATCAGCCTATCTTATCAGGATGACAATACAAGCGAGTTAGAAATTAATAACAAAAATGTTCCTGGTAGCCTCCCTGGTGGCACAAGGGTTAAAGTCTCAGTGCTATCAAGCTATCACCAGCAACTGTGGCCTGAGTTCCATCCCTGGCAGGGAGCTGACCCACATGGCACCACAGACCTCTCCTGTTTCTCCCGCTGCTCCCCTCAGCAGTGTATCTCAGTAGATCCATCTGTTCTGCTCCCTACTCTGTCTCTGGTGAATCCTATCAACCCCTGCTCCTCTGGCCTACATCCCAGTTCTTGTGTGCATAAATAAATAAAAATAGATCTTAAAATGTGCCTGGAAAACAAAACCAAAGAGACTCTACCTTAGGACATTTTTATAAAATGACTCTAAGTAATTCAAGGACCAAATGAGAAATCATGATGGAAGTTAGAGTAACACTTGAACCTGAATAATCATGGGAATATATGGATGAAAACTTGTGGAATGCAGCTTCTGTTGACCTCAGAAAGAAACTTACATTGCTTACATCAGGGGAAGAAAGGGAAGATTGTCAATTATTGAGCTCATTTTTCAACTCTAGAAGTTAAGGAGAGAACAACAAAATACAGTCAAAGAATGATGATACAGAAAAAACAAAGAGCAGAAATACACAAACTAGAAATGCAAAAGAAAGAGGCAGTAAATCAAAAGTTGGTGTTTGAAAAGATTAATGAAATTGACTAATTTCTACTTGAAATTATTGGAGAGAAAATGATGAAGGCACAAATCCTCAGTATCAGGGGCAAGTAAGGGCATACAGCTCTGGAAACAGCATTATTTAAAACACAATACGAAATTCTTATGAATATCTTCCAATCAATAAATCCATAAATTTAGGGGAAATTCTGAAAATCAGAATGACCCAAAAGCTATTTTGAAAAATAAATCGGATGGTTTTACAAGTGAGTTCTACCACAGAGTCACAGAGCAAAGATTGATAATCTTACAAAACTCATTCAGAGGCATCCTCAAGCCAGGTCAAGTCTAAAAGGGTTTTCATGCACTTCAAAAGCCGCTTGCAAAGAGTTTACATTTTTGTTTTTGTTTTTGTTTTTCACATCTTCCAAGAACCAGTCAGACCATTTGCTGAGGTCTGATAACTTAGGAAATCAGTCACGTTTGCTATAGTTTTCAGTTTCCTGGAGAGTGAGGATGCTCCAATCACCCTGAGGTGGGTAGGATTAAATGGGGGAGACAAAAGTATATCTTCCTAACCATCTGCTTTGGTGGGGCTTTCTTTCCTATAGAACAAGAAAACTACATCCCCATGGACTCCCTCTATAGTAACTTCGCATCTTCCCTGAGCCACATAGACACTGAAAGAAAGGTAAGAAGAGCGTGAATGGACGCTGACCTCCATGATACCTTATGTCCCCTCCTTGGTGGTAGGACCTTCCAGAAAGTCAAGTCAGGGATAGTTTATTATCCAGGTGATCATCCAGAACTATAATGCTGGGAAATGGACAAAATAGGGGAGAAAACAGGTGGGGAGCAGGGAATCTAAGCCCTAGGGTGGAATCAGCCCCAGCTAGACCCCTGAGGAGGCTAATGTTTCAGAGGTTTTCTTTCCATTTAAGTATGCCTTTGACAGCCAACTTATTTAGTTATTTTAATTTTTAGCCCTCATAAATGTCAAAATAATTAGTGCAGTAAATACCCCATGTAGATTAGCAATGTTTAACATGTTGCCATCTTTTTGTTTTATGTTAATATATACTCACCAAGTTTTGTCGAACCATTTGGAATTTGGTTACAAACATTAAGATATTCCTCTAAGCATTTCAGCACATATCCACAAATACTATTATCATGCCCAATAGGTTGACATTAATTTCACAATATCTAATATCCATTTTTCCAATTAATCCAAGAACATCTCTTATTATTAGTTTTTTCAAAAGTTAATGCAAATTTGACTCTCTGAATTTTGTTGTCTCTCTTTGATGTGTCCATCCACAGCTGACTCCTACCTCTTTAATATATTGGTTTTTAAAATAGAGTTTAGGATACTTATTTCAACTTTCCTTGTGATGTCATGTAACTTGTCCTTCAATCCTCTGTTTCTTCTATAAACTGGAAGTTAGGGCTAGAGGCTTGATTAGACTCAGTTTAAACGTTTTGTTAACCATACTTCACAGATGATGCTATTGTATCATCTCAAGAGATACACACTGTCAGGTTATCCCACTACTATTGAGACCAAGATTCATTACCTGGCAAAGGGTCACCATACCTCAATTAGCACCTTAATTTTGTTTCAACTGGATGGATATTTTATGTCAGAAAATGCATTTCAGAGTATTCACAACTCAGGAGTGTGATTGACTTTAGGTGCTATGCTGCTTAGAGAGAGCTGGGGTGGGGTGGTGGTGGTATGAAATCCTCAGTGATGGGATTTGGGGGAGACAAGTTGGTCTGTGCTATATGTCAGGTAATAGGATAAGTTCTAAGCTGCACACTTCCCCAATCCCAAGACTATTATAGGGTTCCCACATGGGCCGGGCCCTCACCTGGTTTTACATCTCTTTCAGATCAATATTCAGAGGCCCCAGGTGAAGATGTAACCAAGTTAAAGCAAAGGAAGAGTTGCATGAAGCTGTGGGGTCCAGTAATGAGAGATCTCAGTTTGTCTAAGTTTGGTAGAACATTTCCTCATTGAGAACATTCTGCAGGAACCTGATGAGAAACAACACTGTGCTTGCCAAGAAGAAAATGAGAGTCCACGGTAGATGGAAAAGCAGGAAGCTCTGATGAATTTGTCATGATCTCAAACTTGGCTCCCCTGCTTATTTGGGGGGGGGGGGCAGGGGGGAGGTTCTTCCACCTCCCTGCCCAGGTTCAGCACCAAGGACAGCACCAAACAAATCCTTTAAGATGGTGATTGTACTCTGTTCTGAACTTCACATCATGCTTTTGTGAGATTGCTTGCATTTCATCTTCATGAAAAAATAAATGCTTAAAATAATATTTTGAGGATATATATATAGTATTATGATTATTTAAGTTCTTATTTTTACCTGGAGGATATGATATTTTGTTAGTCACTGTAACCATTGTATTTTAATAATCATATAAATATAATGTATATTATATTATAATTATGAAATAAATATCATTTTCATTAAATTTTTCATGACTCCCAAACCTTTCTCCCATCAATACTCTATATAACCGCTTGTTTCCCACCTGCCAGACTCTCTTTTACTCTCCTCCAGGATGTAGGGTTTGACGACTTTGGCTTCGAGAGGACAAAAGGGAAATCTGCAGCTAGGAAGTGCCAATCCCTGCACCATGGGCTGGGCACTGAGGAGGCCATGAGATGACTGCATGCCTACCCGCTCACCCACTCGCTCACACGAGACAGGGACTCACTTCTTACCAGGAGAAAAGCAAGTTCTCCTACTGGAAATAGGCCCAAGACCTTTTCATATATCCTAAAGACTGGAGTTCTGGGTTCTAGTTCCAGCTTCCTCATCAACTCCCTGGGTTAAATTTGGAAAAGATCATTTGACCATTTGGACTCACTCTTACCTTCCATTGACTCATAGAAATATTAGTATAATAGTTGTTTCTGAGGTTCCCCTCATCGCTCTTATCTTTAGCATTTTTAGGATGTCTTATGATTCCTACCATATAGTTTAAGGTTGATTTTATTCTGGAAGGAGGCCTTTCCCCGAGACCGCCCCACTTAACCCTAACCTAAGCCAGAGCCTCGGCTCTGCTGCCCCCTCGTGGGCATTTAGAGCATGTGCAGGCACCACCCAATTCACAGCCAGTCCCTCCTGGCCTCTCCCACCAGAGATTTTAGCCTTCACTTGGTTCATTCTCATATTTGACATCAAAATCCCAGCTCCAAAAACGTGCTCTTAGTCAATTTGAGCTGCTATGACACACTCTAACTTGGCGACTTGTAAACAACAGACATGTTCTCACAGCTCCAGAGCCCGGGGTGGCCGAGATCTGGGTGCTGACAGATTGGGTGTCTGATGAGAATCCTCTTCCTGGCTCATAGGCAACATCGTCTCACTGTGTCTTCACGTGGCAGAGAGGTGAGGGAGGCCTTGGGCCTCTTTCATAAGGGCACAAATTCCATTCAGGAGGACTCAGCCCTCAGGACTTTTCAGCCCCCAACTCCTAATACTGTCAGACTTTGACAGGTGAATGTCATGGAGGACGCTCCTTAACACTGTTTTGTACACTTCTGATGTGACTTTCCTGATGTTCCCTACTTGTCTCTCCCTACAGGTAAGGAGGGTTTTGTATCCCTTTTGTACCCTTGTTAACCATTCTTCACAGATGATGCTATTGTATCATCTCAAGAGGTACACACTGTCAGGTTATCCCACTACTATTGAGACCAAGATTCATTACCTGGCAAAGGGTCACCATACCTTGATTAGCACCTTAATTTTGTGCTGATTAAGGTGCATGAAATTGCGCAATGTCTAACATAGTGCCCTGTGCATGGAAGATGCTATTGATGTTTGTTAAATTGAATTAAATCAAGACTCATCTTCACAAAGTCTTTAAGTACTCCTGTCACATTCATCCCATTCTCCTCTGGCCTCCTTTTGGGTTTGTGTCAACACAACTAAATTCTTGTGTTCCAATTGTTTCACATATGCTTACCTCCGCCTCTGGACAGCACCATGTTCTGGGGCCATGGCCTCTAGCTTGGGTCATACATCCCATGGGCACTTGGATGTCCTGATTTTGTCCTTCCCACCGACAGCGAAGACTCTCCCTCTCTGGAAAAGATCAATTCAAAAGGAATGGTCAGCAGAGCGTCCTCCATCTCAGGGGGCCCTGGAGTCTGGGAATGAAAACAGCTTCCTGGCTCCCTCCTTCTCCTTCGCTGAGTCTTCTCAGGTCATGTTCAGTCACCCAGAGGCCCTGGGGAGGGAGAAAGTAGGAAATGAGGCTGAAAGTCCAAGGGCCACCCCCGATGAGAAATTAAGAACAATGTTACTAGCCCACCCACAAAATATGTAGAAACAAGGGAAATCATTTTTCCAAAACCCCCTCTAATATTTAGCTTTTTTGAAAACAGTGAGGTCTTGACATTTAGAACTCCAGAGGTTTTGCTAGACCTGGGAAGATGTGACAATTGTGTTTTGCTGAGGGTGATGTGCCTCTGTCAATGGCGTTTAGATTACACCCCCAGGTTGGGCAGGCCTGATTCATCTGCAATGATACAGCAGGCAGGGAGCTGGCGGCCTCCTAAGTCAGGCTGCTTGGCAAGAGGCAGGGCTCACAGGGGAGCCAGGCGGCTAAGGAAATTTACTGCGTGTTGTAGTCAGGGAAAGTGGAATTGGACCTGAGTGATAATCAGCCTGATTAGCTCAGTGCCTCCTGGAGAGAGCCAAGGGCAGGGAGGCAGTGAGGTGGGGGTGGGGAACAGGTCAGCTGGCATCAAGGTGGAGCCCCAGGGACTGGGGTTTGCTAAGGTCAAGAACAACGAGGCCCAGAGAAGTGTATGGAGTAGCAACCCCAGAGAAAATAAGCCTAACACCCAGCCATGGGAGAAAAGGTGGTCAGAAGCGACCACCAGGCTAAAGGCTGGGAGCCAGGAATTGTAGGCTGGGGTAGTGGGAGAGCCAGAGTGAGGACCTGGACAGTGGGCAGAGCTGGAGTGCCAAAGGGCAGGCGCTGGCCAGGTAACAGCCTCTATCCACTGTCAGCCACCCCCTCTCCGGCCCCATCCCCCGAAACTCAGCCTTTGCCAGTAGTTCTTGATCCGAGCTCACAATTGATCTTGGTGATGGGCCACGCTTTTCTCAAAGGCAGCTACAGGAAGCCCTGGAGTCACAGGCCCTGTAGTTGATAGGCCCCTGCCAGGAGGCATCTCCAGACTTCCCATACTCTCCTGACCAGTCACAGCTCAGCCATTTTTGAGTCTTGGGCAGACACCAGACCTGGTACCAAGTGCGCATGTACATTAACTCAGTTTCTCAGCCTGGGGACCTCAACCCAGCATGTCCTGAAAGGGTTACAAAGTGCAGCGAGGGAGGCCCCAGCTCTTGCAGCACTGGGGAGGGCTTGCCAGAGACTAGTGCCCCAGCCCCAGGTAACTCCTGGCCTCCAGCCTTACCAGTGCAATCAATTTTCACACGTGCCAACCATGGGCAAGGTTTGAAAACACACCATTGTTTTATTTGATTCTCACAATGACCAGATGAGACAAGAACCATTGTTTCCTTTTTACAAATGAGGAAACAGGAGTTGAAGGATTAAGGGGCTAGCCTGTGGCACCAGCTAGAAAGAGGGAGATCTGCACTGGGCATGCTCACTTTGCAAGTCCACCATATGAACAAACCTATGGAAAGCTGCTCTCTCTCCAACACCAGGCTAAAATCGTTAGCAGAGCCAGCTGTACCCCAATACCTCTCTGAGGGTACTCCCCGAGGTAGAGTGGGGTCCACTTTCAACAGGAAGGGGCATGTCTGTTTCTATGCCATTCCTTGACTTGTGGCCCCTTCCTCCATTTTTAAAAAAAGATTTATTTATTTATGCATACAAGAACTGGGGTACAGGCCAGAGTGCGGGGGGTGAGAGGATTCACCAGAGACAGAGTGGGGAGCAGAACAGGCAGACTGACTGAAATACACTGCTGAGAGGAGCACTGGGCGAGACAGGAGAGGTCTGCCGCGCCATGTGGGCAGCCCACTGTCCATCTGGGGATCTCGTGCTGCAGAGGCTGCAGACAACCTCCCAGTGCAGTGCCCAACCCCTTGCACCACCAGGGAGGCCCCCCTTCCTCCATCTTTAAAGTTCATCACTCGGACCTCTGCTTCTGCCCTCACATCACCTTCTCTCCCTGTGACCACAGGTAAGTTTCTCCACATTAAAGGACTCATGTGATGAGCTTGGTTCTGCCTGGATACCCTCCCCAGCTCACAATCCCTAATTTAATTATATCTACAAAACCCATTTGCCATGTGAAATAACATCCACAGGCTCTGGGGATTAGGATGGGGATATTGTTCAGCCCACTACAGAATCGAGCTAGATTTTTGCTCCATAGACTTTGTTTTCCCAGTAACATTGACCAACAGGCCATTTCCCCATTGGCGGTGGTGTCACCTCCTCCTGTGCCAAGCACCCATGTCCACACCACCTGGTTCTGCACTGTCACTCCCATTCCACTGCACAATCCTTCCCAGCACAGCAGCAGTGTAGTTTGGTGGGTTTTTTTTTTAATCATGACTTCATAAAATATCTTAAAAATTAGTAGGGAGAGTTCTCCTTCCCTCTTTTTTTTTTTAAAGATTTATTTATTTTTACATAAGAACTGGGGTACAGGCCAGATGCGTGGGAGGGTGAGAGAATTCACCAGAGACAGAGCGGGGAACAGAACAGGCAGACTGACGAATTACACTGCTGAGGGGAGCAGCGGGCAAGACAGGAAAGGTCTGCTGCGCCATGTGGGATTCTCGCTGGCCGGCTGGGATTGAACCCACACTGCAGAGGCTGCGGACAGCTTCACAGTGCAGTGCTCAGCCACCTGCGCCGCCAGGAGAGGCCCTCCTTCCCTCTTCTTTTTCAACATTTCCTCAGCTATGTAAGGACTTTTATTCTTACAGGTATCGATACACTCAGGATTGAATTTCATAGATTAACTTGGGGAGAATTATTATCTTTGCAGGGCTAAATCATCATATCCATGAAGTGGTATTATTATTTTTTCTTCAGGTCCTCTTTTTAAAGTTCTTCAAGGAAGTTTAAACTTTATTTCTGTAAGGGGCAAGGGTTCTCAGCATCAATCCTCAAAGTATGCGTGTGGCAGTGGCAGGGAGGAGGGGGTCCCTACACCTCCACAAGCAATTCTCTGACTCCAGCTGAATGGAATTCAGGTACTTTCTACCTTGAGATAGTGTGAGATCCCAGAGGTGAAGGGTTCAGTTTCACAGGCTGCCTTCCTGTGCTTCTGACTGGTCATAAATCTGGTTCCCATGGCTTCCTCCTTGGGTTTCATTAATTCGCTGGAGCAACTCACAGAACTTGGAAAACCTATTGTAGGGTAAGGCAAAAGTATCAGGCTTTTCTGCCCTCCCGCCATTAGGTTAGATGACGGAACCCTGTGGTCCTGAATGCATGCCTGATGGCGGGCACCTGGAGTGGGGTGTGGGCACATGTAGATGGGATTCACCTGGGCTTAAACTGGGTTTATAAGGGCAGTGATATGGGGACGCCAGAAGCAGAGAGTAGAGCAGAAGAAGCAGAGAAGGAGAAGCAGAAAAGCATGAAGGACCATGAGAACAGCGAGATCACCGGAGAGCCCAGACAGAGTGAAGACTTGCTGGGGGCTGGGAGGCCTGCCAGTCTCCCGGCCCCCAGTGCCCCTTCCTGCCATGTACCTGGTAAATCCCAATAGAAGCCTGCAAAAGCCACTGATGGCTCCAGGACTCTCCTCCTTTACCAGGTCTGCTGGATTAGAAAAACTGCTCAGTGCCCCTTCCTGCCCCTTACACCTATTTACACACCAGATAGCCAGTTTATTATAAAGGATATTAAAAAATATGAATCAACAGTCAAATGAAGAGACATGGAGGGAAAGTTCCTGAAAAAAGGAGCTTCTGGCCTGGTGGAGTTTGTGCCCAGCTCGGTGGCACAGGGCGCCCTCTGATTCACTAACCTAGAAGCTCTACAAAGCCCTCCTTTTGTTTTTTCTGTGGGTGTCTCATTACTTAGGCACAATTGATTAAATTATTGGCCAATACCAATTGATTCACCTTCCAGTCCCTCTGTGCTCACCAGACATCAGGGGTCTCTGAAAATTGAAAGCCTCAATCTTCTAATGCTAAGGCTAGTTCTGCCAGCAATCAGCCCTCAATCTTAGGTACTTCCCAAATTTACCTCACTAACCTAACAAGGGCCTCCCTGGTGGCACAAGGGGCTAAGCACAGCACTATGAAGCAATCCGCACGAGTTCTGCAGCACCAATTCCATCCTGGCAGGCCAGGGAGCAACCCACACGGCAGCGCAGCAGACCTCTCCTGTCTCGCCCGCTGCTCCCTCAGCAGTGTATTTTGGTCAATCTGCCTGTATTGTTCCCCACTCTGTCTCTGGTGAATCCTCTCACAACCCCCCCCCACCCCACTCCACTGCCGCACCTCTGGCCTACACCCCAGCTCTTGTACACATAAATAAATAAATCTTAAAAAAAAAAAAGAGAGAGAGACGCCTTTCATGCTCTGAACCAGAAGTGGTGATGAAACCCAAATATGTATTTTTCATTATAGATCACAGTACCACAGCGGTCACTAGATCCCATTGACGGGAACTCAATCCTCGCGTTTCCTGAGTTGAGTTCTCCACTAACATCCCTTCTCCACTTGCAATGAGAAGTGAAATCATTTGTCTAAATCCCTTGAAGGACTGCATCAATTACTAAAAGGTTTTAAACACTGGACTTCATACCTCTTTGACTCCCTGCTCTACCCTGGGCAGTGAGGCCCCAGCCACATGCTGGCCCCTGCTCTCCATGGGCTGCCCCAGGTCTGGGGGAGGGGCAGGGAATGCCAGCAAACTCATTTGCTCACAAATCTTAGCCACATCCTCCAACTTGCCTTTATCAGGAGCCAAGTTGACATCCCTGTCTCCATTCAATGGACTCCTGCATTCTCCCAACTAATTCTGAACCTGGGATATAAACCAGAACTGGCTGTTGAGTATCTTTAGGTCTTATGCAGCAGCTAGTGGGGATTGTGTAGGCTTTTACCTTGGTGACAAGCAGCTGTTTTTTTCA